CTCCTCCTCCTCCTCCTTCCCTCGGGGCATGGACAAAATCACGACGGAAGATGCTTCGCCACGTTCGGCCTCCGGGGGCCCTCTGCACGGCCACGGGGTCGCGCTCGAGGGCACACGGCTGTGCGGCTGCGGCTGCCGCTCCGCACGCGTGGCGCCATGCAGGCGCGGCGGAGGGGGCGCCGAGGCGCCTGGTGACGCGCACGTGTGCGAAACACCGTGAAACATTGCATGGGAGGAGGTTATACGCCTAGAGGGGGGGGGTCCTAGGGGAGAGAAGAAGAGAAATGAGGTGGGGTGCCCATCGGAGGAGATCTGTTTAACCGTGCCAAGGGTTCCATCCCCACATCCCCACGGACCACGGCCCATCAAGCAGGGCACACCATCCTCCAAAACAGGCTAGCCGAGCTCTCCAGCCTCGACAGCCATATCAGCCTGCATGGGGGGGTAAGGAGGAGGACGAGGAGGAGGAGGAGGAGGAGGAGGAGAAGGAGAAAGAGAAGGAGAAGGAGGAGGAGGAGGAGGAGGAGGAGGAGGACCAGTGGAAAACCCAAGAGTCATCAACGATGTTGGAATTAACCCTCCCTCCAAGCTCCCTCTTCATAGGCCCATACAACGGTTCGTTTCCATTGAGGGAACTGCCTCGCTGGAAGACAATATTTTGAAGATCCTGAGGCGTGCCAACACATTGTTCTCGGGATTTCAACGCCACGTATCAACCCGACTGCCGCGTCTTGACGATCCAGAGCCAGAACGCCATTTTTTGGAACTTGTAACACAGCGGATCAATATAACTGCTGCGCCCGCATAATCCGGGACCCTTCCAAAACACAATTTCTGGTACGCTGATCATGGGAATCCGTGAAACTCTTGCACATTCTTTTTTTAATGGAAAAAACGAATGTGCGCGGCGCTACAGCGAGAACCACATGTTGAAAAGGAACCGCCCTCAATCCGTGAAACCTTTTGCAATTTTTCACAACGAATGTACGGGGCGCTAAAGCGAGAGCCACATGTTGAAAAGGAACCGCCCTCAATCCGTGCAACCTTTGCAAATGTTTAAAACGAATGCGCGCGGCGCTAAGGCGAGAGTCACATTAAAAAAACGGCCCGCCCTCAATTCCGTGCAGCTCTTGCAATGTTTGAAGACGAATGTGCGCGGCGCTAGAGAGGAGGAGGAGGAAGAGGAGGAGGAGGACCAGTGTAAACCCAAGACCCATCAACGATGTTGACACAAACCCTCCCTCCAAGCTGGCTCTTCATCGGCCCGTACAAGGATTCATTTCCACTGAGGGAAATGCCCCGTTGGGAGACAACCGTTTCAAGACCCTGGAATGTGCCAAAACACCACTTTCCGGAAAAGCCACGAATCAGCCTGACTGCTGCGTCTTGACGATCCTGAATCGTGCCAAAATACCATTCCTGGGACTTCAACACCGCGAATCAATGAACTGTTGCGCCCGGACAATCCTCAACCGTTCCCAAACACTATGTTTGGCGTGTTGACCATGGGAATCCATGAAACTCTTGCACATGTCTAAAGCGAATGCGCGCGGCGCTTTAGCGAAAATCGGATGTTGAAAAAGAACCGCCCTCAATCCATGAAGCTCTACACATGTTTAAAATGAATGTGCGCGACACTGAGGCCAAAACCACATTTTGAAAACGACCCGCCCTCAATTCGTGAAACTCTTGAATGCTTACGAGACGAATGTGCGCGGCGCTCAGGCGAGAGCCACAGTTTGAGTGAAAACGGCCCGCCCTTAATCCGTGAAGCTCTTGCGAATTTGGAAACGGACGCGCGCAACGCTAAAGCGAGAAGCGCATTTTAAAAACGGCCACCCTGAATCCGTGAAACTCTTGCAGTTTGTTGGAACGAATGTGCGCGGCGATAAGGAGAGAGCCACATTTTGAAAGCCCCCCCGCCCTCCATCTGTGAAACTACTGCCCATGCTTCAGCTTCAGGGCTGTCAAGTGTGAGGAAGAGGCGAAACGCTCAGTCCGCCCTTTCGACTGGCCTAGGGGGGTGTGCGGACGAGGCGAAACGCTCAGTCCGCCCTTTCGACCGGCCTAGGAGGGCGACAGGGAGGAGTTATTCACACGGAAAAGGAATGGAGGAGGCGGAGGGACGGCGGCAGTATCACGGCGCTCGAGGCCACAACCTTTCATAAATCCCAAACCTCCGCGGGTCAATGACAAGTCACGACGGGCGGTTTATCGCCCATTTCGGCCTCCAGGGGCCCTTGCCGGGCCTCGGGGCCGTCAAAAACCGGTCCCCAGGAAGGGGTCGAGATTTCAGGGGGTCAACGTTGTGGAAAAAACATAACGTCGGGGGTCTGGGATCACAGGGCGGTCTGGTTCCCGAAGCCGCACCCCGTCGCCAAGCAGTACTGGTTCGCGCCCCCGAGGCCAGACCCTCTCTGTAAATTATGACAGGCTCCCGCTCCCGTGACCACAATCCCTCGTAAATCACGACGCGCTCGCGTTCCCGAAGCCACGAAACCACCCCGCGGAGGCTGCCCAAAGGCGCCACCCCATCACGGACCAGATCGCGATCTGGTCGTCAGGGGGCGGGGCCTGGAAGGGCGGGGCCTTCCGCCCAGTCGCGCCGCGAGTTTAGGAGTAACCTTCGGCCGAGCAAAGCGGGCAGACCCTTCACCCTTGAGCCCCTCCATCTTGAGCCACTCCTCCTCCTCCTCCTCCTCCTCCTCCTCCTCCTCCTCCTCCTCCTCCTCCTCCTCCTCCTCCTCCCCCCACCTCCTCCTCCTCCTCCTCCTCCTCCTCCTCGCCTTTCCCCATGTCCTCCCCTCTTCTCAAATATCCGACGTCGTGATGTGTGTTTGTCAGCGTGGCTCCTCAAAGGTCTGGACCCCTTCCCGAGGACCAGCTTTACATCCCGAGCCGTTTTCTGAGAATCCCGCGGGCCCGGTAAGGCTGAGGTCGGGCATGTCCCCCTACAGGCGGACTGTAGACGAAAAAATTAGAATACTTGCAAAATACACCAAAACTGTTCATGTTCAAAAACAATCAAAAAGAACGTCCCCGTACTATTTTTTAGCTATTTGTGAATATTCCTCCTGTAGAGGGACAGGCCCGACTTAAGGTAAGCCCCCCCCCCCCAGAGGCCGAACATCGCACCAAAAACTCCCGCCGTGATTGGTCGTTTCACGACGCGAGGGCCTCGGGCGGGGGAGAGAAGGGGCAGGGCCGAACCCTTGGCAGCGCTCGCGTTGCCCAGACGTCCGACGTCTTGAGCTTCTCCATGCGGGGCCCCCAGCGGTCTGGACCAGTTCCCCAGGGACGATTTTGCATCCTGAGTCGGTTTGCGACGGTCTGGCCCGGCGACGGCCCCCCGAGGCCGAAAATCGGGCCCGGCGAGGGCCCCCCGAGGCCGAATATATATATATATATATATATATATATATATATGCTGTAGTGGTAGTAATAATAATATGAAAATAAATAACTGCATACGTAAATAACAGCATTAATAATACTGATACTAATAATGCCAATACTAATAACACTGCAAATACTAATAATACGAATAACAATTATACTAACAATACTAATAATAATAATGATAATAATAATAATACTAATAATAATAATAATAATAATAAGAAGAATCATAATAATGGTAATGCCAATAATGATAATAAGAATAATGATAATACAAATGCTAATTATAATGCTACACATAATATTAATAATAAGAGTCGGTAAATGATAATAGTATTAGAAAGACTAACAATAGTAATACGAATATTAATAGCAATCGTCGTAATAATAGTCGCAGGAACAATGATAATCATACTAATAGTACAACTAATACGGATACGAATGCGAATAATGTTATTTACAATAGTTATTAGTACGCACCAAGAAACAACAACAACAAACTCTCGAGTTTCTCGAAACGTTGGAGGTCTGGGTAGCCCTCGGCAGCGCTCCTGGCCACATCGTCCAGCGGGTGGGGCTCTCGTGGAGGGCCTGCCCCGCGTCGGGCCGTCCATCCGGACAGGGGCCTCGAGGGGGCAGGCAGCCTGGGCCTGCTCGGCGGGAAGGCAACGCGAAAGCAGCGAGCAGGGCCCCGAGGAAACGGGGGGGGGGGAAGGCGTGGGGGGGAGCGAGGGGAGGGCGGAAACGGGGGGGGGGGAAGAGGCGCGGGGGGGAGCGAGGGAAGGACACCTGCCCCCCAGCAATTCGGCACCCAGCTCGGGCCGCGCTGCTCGTGACTGGCCCGCCCGGCCTGTCCACAGCAGGAAGCCTCCATTTCTGGCTCCGCCCCCCTTGAAGGGATGCTGCCGGCGGCGGCGGAGGCGGCGACGACGGCGACGGGGGAGGAATCGTGCCGCGAAAAAGCTACGGTCTGTGGAACTTTGGCTTAGCGTGTCGCTCCGCTGGTTCTGGTCCACCACGCTGCGGCGCGACACGCTACCCACGTCCTCCCAGTCCCCAGGCACCAACGTCGCGAGCCTTGCAAAAGTTCCCGACCCTACCTCAGCCCCGGCCGAATTATCCCATCCTCGTCCACGGTCTCATCCTCCGCCTTCCTTCGTGGATCTACTGACCCGGGTCAGCGAAAGCCCAGGTCAGTCGGGCTTTGCAGCATCCTGCACAATCCCGTAGGATCCTGCAGCGCCAGCCTGGGTCAGTGCATCCCTGGCTCAACGGGCTCCTGCAAAATCCGGCGCTCTGGCTGACCCCCGTTTGCATGCACCCCCGTCTGAACATGCTCCCGACCCCGGGGGGGGCGAAGGGGCGACATCAGGGGACTCCGCGAAGCGGGGGGGGGTCCGAGAAGGGCACCCGAGGCGGTCGGTCGGGCGCCGGCCGGTGACGCTCGGTCGTGCACAGTCGCCTCGTGGTGTGCAGACTGCACAGACTAAATGTGCGCTCACCTGCTTGGAGGCCCCTGCGCGCTCCGCCCTCCCCGGCAGCAGGGCCGCCTTCGGCGGCTCGCCCGACACCTTCGGGGTCGGCACCAGCAGCGAGGCCGGCTCCTGGAGGCGTGCCGGGGCGGGCGGAGCTGGCGCGCTGCGAGGGCCGCCGCCTCCTCCTCCTCCTCCTCCTCCTCCACCTCCTCCTCCTCCTCCTCCTCCTCCTCCTCCTCCTACGTACTCCTCTCCTGCTCCTCCTCCTCCTCCTCTCCTCCTCCTCCTCCTCCTCCTCCTCCTCCTCCTCCTACTCCTGCTCCTCCTCCTCCTCCTCCTGCTTCTCCTCCTCCTCCTCAACCTGCTACTCCTGGCTGGAAGAAGGGAGGGGACAGAGGCGGGCCAGCAGGCAACAGCAGGGGGAGAGGAACTGCGCAGTCTCTGAAGGCCGATCTCCAAACCTGGCAGGCTCAACCAGCCCCTGCTTTGCGCATAGCCGCTGCGTCCTCGCGGCAACCTACGGTGCTGCGGACCTCCTCCTCCTCCTCCTCCTCCTCCTCCTCCTCCTCCTCCTCCTCCTCCTCCTCCTGCTCCTCCTCCTCCTCAGGCCCGCAAAAGCTGCTAGGGGTCCCAGCGTCGATCCAAAGGACTCCGCGCGGACCTCCGAGAAGATTGACTATGTCTGTGCCGCCTCCTCCTCCTCCTCCTCCCTCCTCCTCCTCCTCTCCTCCTCCCTCCTCGTCCTCCTCATCCTCATCCTGCTCCTGCTGCTCCTCCTCCTCCTCCTCCTCCTCCTCCTCCTCCTCCTCCTCCTGCTCCTGCTCCTGCTCCTCCTCACCCTCCTTCCTCGAAACGCCGCGACGCCCCGGGCCTCCCCCGGGGCTCGCTCCGACCAGCAGCTCGAGGCGACTCCCGCCTTGGCGGCCCCAGGGGTCCGGCAGGGGACCCCCGCGCGACCGAGCACGACAAGGAGGGCGCTGCGGCTGTTGGCTCGGTGGCAACTCGTGGGAGCCTCCAGGTGCCATCTCGTCGGCCCTTGCGGATCGACGCTCATCGAAGCTGGTCGGCGCTGAGTCGGCGCTGAGTCGACGCTGAGTCGACGCTAGATCGACGCTAGATCGATGCTGATCGACGGTGCATCGGCGCTGTATCTCACCGCCTCCCAGGCGCAAGCGGGCGCCCTTCGACGCCACAGACGGACCCTGCGAGGGCACACACGAAGCTCCCACGACCTGCTGCCCAAGTTTCTTCGGGAGCGGCCAAGAGGGGGGTGTCCAAGAGGGGGGGGTGCAAATCACGACCGGCGGCATGTGCGCGGCCCAGCGGGGGGGCCTGGGACGCAATGAAATAAGAAAAGGCGCCATGAAATCACAGGAAAAACCATGGCCCGCGCCATGAAATCCACCCCCCTAGCCATCACCCCCCTCTTTTCCGCTCCCGAGTTTCTGTGCTCCATCGACCCGCCGGGCAGGCCCGCCTTCGCCGGCTCGCCCGACACCTTCGGGGTCGGCGCCATGCCGCGCGCGGCCCCGCTCTGCGGGCCCGCCGTCTTCGGGGTCGGCTCCTGCGGGGGGCGGCCACGCGGCGCGGCCCGGCGGCGGCCCGCGCCGTCGCGGACGCACCGCGCTCCTCGCCACTCTCGTCTCTCCCTCCTCCTCCTACTCCTCCAACTCCTCCTCCTCCTCCCCCTCCTCCTCCTCCTCCTCCTCCTCCTCCTCCTCCTCCTCCTCCTCCTCCTCCTCCTCCTCCTCCTCCTCCTCCTCCTCCTCCTCCTCCTCCCCCTCTTGTGGCGTGAGCCCAAGAATCATCATCACCATCACTATCACCATCAGCCCAAGCATCATCATCGTCATCATCGTCATCATCATCAGCATCATCATCATCACCATCATCACCATCATCCTCATCATCGTCATCATCAGCATCGTCACCATCAAATAACACCAATCATCACCATCATCATCATCATCATCCTCAAAATCAGTCAGCACCATCAGTATAAACCGCATCATCAGCATCAGCATCATCAGCATCATCATCATCATCATCATCATCATCATCATCATCATCATCATCATCATCATCATCATCATCATCATCATCATCATCATCATCATCATCATTATCGTCATCATCAGCATCATCGCCATAACCATCACCATCACCAATCATCATCAGCATCATCATCAGCATCATCAACCCCATAGTCATCACCAAAAACAGCATCATCATCATCGTCCAAATAATCGCCATCCTCATCATTACAGTCACCATTACCATTACACATCGTCATGATCACCAATCAGCATCGCTCCTCATCATCGTCATCAGCATCGTAACAATTATGATCAACCATCACCACTGCTCATCACCAACGTCAACGTCATCATCATCAACAGCATCATCATCATCAGCAGCAGCATCATCATCGTCACAAACACCAATCATCAACATCAGCAGAATCAGCATCAACACCAACACCGTCATCATCAGCAGCATCATGATCATGATCATCATCATCATCGTCGTCTCAAGCATCAGTATCACCATGACCGTCACCATCACCACCGTCACCAATCATCATCGTCATCATCACCAATATCATCGTTATCATCACCAGCACTATCACCAAGCATCATCATCAGCATCACCAGCATCATCATCAGCAGCATCATCGTCATCAGCAGCATCACACTAGCCATCACCATCACAAATCAGCATCATCCTCAGCATCATCATGATCATCATCACCATCATCATGATCCTAATCATTATCCTCATCCTCATTCTCATCCTGATCCTCAGCACCAGCATCAGCATCAGCATCAGCATCAGCATCATCATCAGCATCAGCATTATTAGCATCATCATCAGCATCATCATCAGCATCATCATCAGCATCATCATCAGCATCAGCATCAGCAGCATCATCATCATCACCATCATCATCATCACCATCATCATCAGCATCATCATCATCACCATCATCATGGGCATCCCCCTTCCTCCACGGGAGGGGAGGGGCACGGAGGGCCCGCCCGCAGGCAGACCCCTCGGGGCGAGGCTCCGCGTCCATCAGCTGCGACGCGGAGGGCGAGGCCTTGGGCTTGGACTTCAGCACGTGGCTCGGGCCCAGCTCCGAGGCGCCCTGGGGCACGATGAGCTTCTGCCCCGGCCTCGGCGAAGCGGAGGGGAGGGAGGGAGGCGGAGAGAGAGAGAGAGAGCGAGGAAGGGGGGGAAGCGAAGAGATGCGCGGGCAGGCTGGGGACCGTCACGGGAAGTGCCGCCCCACAAGAAATGCCGCCGGTAGCGGCGGAGGGAGGGCGGGCAGCCGAGGCGGAGGGGGACGGCGATACAGGGGGAGGACGACCGAACGACTCTACAGAGGCGCGTCTGACGAGCCCGCTGTGCTCTCAACCGCCTTAAGTGCAGTCTGAACCTGTCTTTTTGTTTTCTCTCTCTCTCTCTCTCTGTATGTGAATGAACATATACATGTACACATGTAGATGTATGTGTGCATACGTATGGAATATGTGGGTGTGTATTTACGTGTGCAGTTTTATATGCGTAATATCTGTGTGCACATACATATACATATACATGTGTGTGCCGGTGTGTACCCACACATCTATCTTTTATTCGGCTATACGTATGTCGTATATGTATATAACTACATATGTACCTCCAACACGCCCCACCCCCACGCCACCAAAACAAACAATCATACAGCGTGTCTCCGTGCGTCTTCTGCTGCCTCTCCCCTCCGTCTCCTCCTCTTCCTCCTGCATTCTTCCTCTGCCCCTCCTCCTGCAACTCTTTCTCCTTCTCCTCATCCTACGCCTACGCCTCCTCTTCCTGCGGGAGCGGCCTTGCCGAAGGATTTCCTTATAGGTGGTCGTGCAACAAGGACTCGTTGTTGTGGCGGCTTTCCAAGGGAATCCCATTATTGCATGGGGTCGTTATCTCAAGGGGGCCCTGCGAAAACACAGTTGCCCCAGATATGTGACGTGCCAAGGTATTGGGAAGGAACTCCTCTGAACACACACTCACACACACACACAAACACACTTACTCCACATAGCTGCCGAAGTCAGGAAACCCTGTGAAAACACAGTTGGCTCATACAGTGTCGGGTTTCTTGGAGACGGGCGCCACTCCTCCTCCTTCGCCTCCTTCGCGCTCCCCCCCATCCCCCCCCCCCAGGACGCTGCGCCAGGCAAGACACCATGTGAGAACACACTCACCCCAACTATGATTCAAGGCGTTGGTAAGGACATCCTGCGAACAATACAATGCCACCCCAAGGACCCTGCGCCAGACAGGAAACCGTGTGAGAGCACAATGGCCCTAACTATTTGGTAAGGAAACCGTGCAAAAACACAGCTGCCCCAGATATGTTTCAAGGTTGCGGTAAGGAGGCAAGTGAGAAGACACAAAAAACAAGCGCCATTCCTCCTGCTCCCCCAACCTCCTTGCGGCGCGCCTCCAGAAAACCATACCACCTCTGGGGCACATGTGTTCCCACAGGGCTTCCTCACCAAAACAGTGAAACGCATAATGGGATAATTGTGCTTTTCACCTGGGCTCCGTACCACTGCCTTGAAACGACGGCGTCCCTTGAAGTGTGGGGGAGGCGCAACGGCTGCGACGATTCAGGAGGAGGAATGGCGCCCACCCCCAGAAACCTTCAACATGTCAGAGGGACACTGTGTGCTCACAGGGCTTCCTTACCAAAACCCTGAAACTCCCACCAGCCCAGTGGGCGTAGGTGGTCCAACGAGGCCTTTCATTCCCCTTTCGATACCCTCTTCCCTTCGGAGAAGGGGTACCTTCCCTCTCCACTCCCAAAGCTTTTTTGAGGGGGGGCGGGGGGGGGAGGGGGGCGAAGGGTTAGATCGTCCAAAGTGGCCCAATGCGGCTCCAAGAGAGCCTCCGATGCTCCACGATGGCCTCCAAGGCGGCCCACGATAACCGAAGATGGTTCAAGATAGCTTCAAGAGGTCCGACCACGGCCATAAGACGGCTCCAAATGCTCTCAGAGCCCCCATAGGACACCTCCCCCCAACAGGCCAACATCAACCAAACACACGAAACAAAAACACTGATTGTTGCCTTCTGGTCTTTTCACATCCGATGCGCTGTTGATGCCTCCAGATTGCCTCACGATGGCCCAAAGAGCCCCAAGAGGGACCCACGATGCCCCCTAAACGGTCCCACTAGCGCCCAAGATCGGCCCACGAGCCGCCAAAGAGGCGACGTTGATGACCCCAAGGGGAAGGAATTCAGGATCCCCTCCTTTGATCGATCGCCTCCAAGGTGGCCTCAAGGGGCCCTCAGGGGCTCCCAAGAAGGCCCCAAGAGGCCCCCTAAGAAGGCCCCAAGACAGCCCCAAGACGGCCAGAAGAGCGCCCGAGAGCGCCCCAAGAGCGTCCCACGAGGGCCCCATGAAGCGGTTATCTCCTCCTCCATTCTTTTTCTTTACAAATCCCTCCTCCCTGTCGCACCGCGAGGCTGGTCGAAAGGGCGGGCCGGGTGTTTCACCACTTATGACCCTGAAGCTAAAACACTGGCAAGAGTTTAGCGTATTGACGGCGGGTGGTTTTCAAAATGTGGCTCGCGCCTTAGCGCCGCGCACATCCATATTAAACATTTTCCTGAACTTCACGGATTGTGTGTGTGGGTTGTTTTCAAACTGTGGCTTGCGTCTAGCGCCGCGCGCATTCGTTTCAAACATTTGCAAGAGTTTAACGGATTGAGGGCGGGTCGTTTTCAAAATGATGTTTTCGCCTCAGCGCCGCGCATGTTCGCTTTACGGATTGACACTTGCAAGAGCTTCACGGATTGAGGGCTGGTGGTTTTCATTCAAAATGTGGCTCTCGCCTTAGCGCCGCGCACTTTCGCTTTAAACCTTTCCAACAGTTCCACGGATTCCCATTGCCAACATATCAGAAATGGTGCTTTAGAGTGACTCCGGATTGTGAGGGTGCAACTGTTGCGTTGACTCGTGGTGTTGATGTCCCCAGAATGGTATTTTGGCACGGTTCAGGGTCGTCAAGACGCAACAGTCAGGTTGACTCGCGGCGCTGGAGTCCCGAGAATGGTATTTTGGCAAGCTTCAGGGTCTTCAAACGGTTGTCTCCCAATCAAGTAGTTCCCTCAGTGCAAATTAACCTGTATGTGGCCTATGAAGGGGGAGCTTGGAGGGAGGGTTTACTGCAACACCGTTGGTGACTCTTGGGCTTACATTGGTCCTCCTCCTCCTCCTCCTCCCCTCGCCCCCGCTCTGCATGGATCCGCCGAGCTTTGTTTCACTCTATGTGTCTCCTCGTCCCTTTTCCCGTCAGCTCTCGCGGGCAGGGTTTCTGAACGAGCTGGTGAGGATACTTTTTGATCGCGAGCGCAAACAAAAAGGCCGCGCGCCGTCCAGAGCTACCGCTAATCGGCAGAAGCCCAAATTCGCACCAGAACTGGTGGGGATACGCGAAGTGTGAAAACTATATGGTGCAACTGTGTTTTCATATGGTTTCCTGACCAAGCCCTAACAATGTTTTCACAAGGTGTCATTGCCAACACCTTCAACATGTTCTGCATATTTGCGTTGTCGCCAAGCTTCCCTACCATTGCATTGACGCACATCTGGCGTCAACATGTTTTCAGAGGGTCTTTCGCCTGGCACGCTGTCAGTGGAGGGAGGAGAAGGAGGAGGAAGAGGAGGACGAGGAT